AGCACTCACACCCTATAGCAAAAAACTCTCCCTCTGAGAAAGAAAAAAAAAAAAAAAAAGCCAATAACAGGGCCAGTGGATGGCATGGAGGTTAAGGCTAGATCCCACGTGGCTAACTTTGTGGTTCTGAACCCAGTGGCTTGAAAATCATACCAGGTACATTTCTGTGTCTGTGCATGCCCCAAATCCCAAGAGGACAATGGGGGCGGGGAGATCTGGTTAGGAAATCTCTTACTTCCTGTCTTCTTCTGTTTCTCTCAGACAAGTACAAATGCCCTATAGCAGACTTAAAAAAAAAAAAAAAATCCAATGGCCTGGGGAGTTTTAGAGACAATTGAATGGCCAGTTGCCTCATACGTAGCTAGTCAAGAAAGGACTGAGAGAGACCGGCAGGTGATGGTTAAGGGCACTGTACTCCCACATGGCTGACCTCGGGAGTCAGACCTGGTCTGACTCAGACCTGGTCGCTTACTTTCTCACTTTCTCTCTCTCTCTCTCTCTCTCTTTCTCTGTCCCTCTCTGGTCAAATTAAAATAAATGAATAAGTAAAATAAATAAATAAAATAATTCTTTTAAAAAAAGAGAGAGAAAGGATTAAGAGGTGTCTGCTGGAGAGGAAATATGAAAGTCAGTGGGTGACCTCATGAAAATAGCTTTAGTGGGGTAGGGTAGGTATGATGGAAGACAGACTGCTGTGGGAATGGGGTTGAATGGGAGGCAATTTGGGAGGGGAAATATAAGCACCTTTGCTTTTCACCATGCACTGCCAACCCAGGCTGTGCTTTACCAATCCATTTTCCAATCCAGCTTCCATACTGCCGCTCGTTACATTTTCCAAAGCTCAAATCAACTGGACTCCTTCCTGTCGTGAGTCACACCTGCTGGCTTGCCATGTGTTAAACAATCAAGAGCAAAATGAAGTGCCCGTCTGGTGAGCGTGACTTATTTCTCACACTTGGCTTCTTCAGCACCTGTAAAACAGTTGTACAAGTCCATCATCCTTTGTCCAAGATCCTGGAGGCCACTCATGTTTTGGAATTCACAGCTTATTGGGTTCTAGAAAGATAATATGGTGCATATACAATATACGACATAATACCACAGGCTCAGTCTGGGATCCACCACAAACACAAAAATGGGACAAACTTACTAAATGGAACAAATAAAGATTAAGACACCTTGGGGCCAGCAAGCGGTATGATGGTTGAGGTGCTGGATCCCACACAGCCGATTCTGAGGTTGGAGTCCTGGACCTGGTGACTTGGAAAACACACCAGGCATATGTGCACGTGTGCCTCAAATCCTGAGAGTAGAACGGAGAAGAAGAGATTGTGGCCATCCCCTGGGGGGTGGTTTCTCACTTTACCTCTCTCTGTCTCTGTCTCTGTCTCTCTCCACCAAGTGCAAGCACCCTATGGCAAACAAACAAACAAACAAAAAACAAACAAAAAACAACCTCCTTGGTTGAGATCAGGTCAAGTCTTCCACTGAAGGAGTTACCAAGATATGTTTGTTTTCCAGAGCTTTTCAGAGTTTTGGAATTGTGACAGGGCTCATGGACCACCCTGGCAGAGTTGTTTTACAGCTCAAATGAGAGACGTGTGTAAAAAATGAAGCAGAATGGAAAAACACGAAGGGTACAGAGGTGCTGCTCTTCCTGACTGGGAATGAAAGGAATTTTCCTTTTTCTGACATCGTGCATGTGTGAGCAATTTATAACAGACACTCTCTGATAGCTTTTTGGAAGCCATGTCTCCTCAGCTGGAAAGGAATAACCTAGTTTAAAGAATGCATCCAAATGTAGCTGGGTACATCTGAATAATCAAGGGCAGTTTCCCCAACTTCTTTCTCGTCTTGATTTCTCTCCTTTAAGGGCGAGGGCTGAGCTAAGTTTGGAGATGCTGGAATTCATGGTGATGAGGACCCTCACAGTGGAAATCGATTCTTCAGTGTCATCTTCTCTACTAAACTCTGAGAAATGTAAGGCAGGGACTAGGTCTGAGGTCACTGCTGGGTCTCCAGCTCCTGATCTTTGTCTAGGATGGACAAAGATATTGGTAAGTTGATAAATTTTGTGCTGAGTTGAATTGAATTTGATGTCTTACATTCCTCATTGTGACAGAAGGCAAGGCTGGCATCATTGTCTTAACTTCCACTGTTTTTTTTTTTTTTTTTGGAGAGGTTTTAGCCATAGGGCACATGCGCTCGCCAGAGAGACAGAGAGACAGAAAGCGAGAAATCACCCCTCCCCCAGGGGGAAGGCCACGCCGTAACCCATTCTCCTCCATTCTCCTCTCGGGATCTTGGGCACGCATGCACACACTCCCGGCATGAGTTTTTAAGCCCCTGGGTCCAGGATGCTAACTGTAGTCAGCTACATGGGAGTCCAGTGACATAGCCATTATGCTAACTGCTGGTCCCAACTTCCACTGTTTTCATTTTCGGGCAAAAGCTCCTCCTCCCAGTGGGTCATTCTACTTGATTCTACCCTCTCTGGCTCTGCTCATGTTTGTTTTGTATGGCTTCCTCCAGCAAACACAGATACACACTCCTCAAATCCCATTCTCCTTAAGTGAAGATCCAGGTTCCTGAATTATAGCCACCTTCTTCATGTTATTTTATTTTTATTTTTATTTTTATTTTTTTACAGAGAGATTTTTGCTATAGGGCACATGTGCTCGCTGGAGAGACAGAGACCAAAAGTGAGAAATCACCCTCTAGGGAGATGATCCTACCACAATTCCTTTGCCTCCATTCTCCTCTCAGGATTTTGGGCACACATACGCACACGCCCAGCATGAGTTTCAAGTTGCCAGGTCCAGGACTCGAACCATGTCAGCCGTATGGGAGTTCAGCAGCATAACCACTATGCCATCTGCTGGTTCCCTTTACCCTATTCTTACTCATAAATCACTTTAGTATTTGTGCAAACAACCTAATTAGCAACCCAATTTCAACAGAAACTATTGCTCCTCTGAAATGTTAAGCCCCAGTATCCAATCATCCAATCTGACCATAACAGCAGTTTTTTTTTGTTTGTTTGTTTGTTTTTTTTTCCTGTTATAGCTGACTTCAGAGCTCCCTGAGGCCTGGTCCCTTAGCCTCTCTCTTTTGACCTCATTACCACCTATCTAGCTTGGGGCTCAAGATTCATCACTTGGGGCCAGCAGTTAGCATAATAGCTATGTAGCTGAACTCCCATGTAGCTGACTGCATTTCGAGTCCCAGACCCAGTTGCTTAATCATCTCAGCCATGCGCGTGTGCGTACGTGCCCAAGATCCTGAGAGGAGAATGGAGGAGAAGGGATTGCCGCGTGGCCATTCCCCCGAGGGGTGATTTCTCACTTTCTATCTCTCTGTCTCTCTCTGTCTTTCTGGTGAGCACACGTGCCCTGTAGCAAAAAACCTCTCCAAAAAAAAAAAAGATTCATCACTTTAACTACTCTCTTGCCAGTAACTTCAACACTCTTGACGCTTTGCCCTTCTGCCTCATGTACTCTACAAATCCCTAATTTCTGGCCTTTTCTATTCCAAGGCCCAGGCCTCTGGATAGTGTTGGAGGCCCCCCAGTTTGGATTATTCTCAGAACATGATCTCTAATTTCAACTAGGCTTTCAGCTGTGCTTGATGTATTGTTTTTGAGCTTCTGGTTGACTTCCATGCTCACTTATTACAACGGCTTTTCCAAATCTTCACAAGGTATCAAATCCATCTTTACCCTCCTGACTTAGAACACAGTCTTGTCTCTTAGGTAACAAAGAAAATTTACTTTCTACACACTCATTTATACCCTCACCCACATTTTCCTCCTTCCCTACCTCCTCAAAGGCAATGGCAAACCTTCCGTTTTCACTCATCTGGTCATTTGGTCTTCCCCACCATGTTTTCCTTGAGATCTGCTTTTTTTCTTTCTCTTATTTTTTAGTCTTTTTATCTCTCATAAGTACTTCCCTGAAAGCTATAAATATGTTTAAAACCTTTCACCTCAAAACATAATATCTTGTTTTGATCTGGTGTCCCCTTCTGGCCATCTTCTTTCCTTCCGCTCATGACTGAGCTCTTGTGAGGGAGAATATAAAGCAGTTGAGTTCGCTTTTATATTTCATCAGCCCTTTGCCGTCGGTTCCACCCCAGACAAGAGGAGGTTGTCTTAGACCAGGTCACTAATGACCTTCCAATAACTAGAGTCAATTGTTCTAGTCTGTTTCATTGCAAATAACAGGAAATACTTGAAACTGGGTGAGGCGAGGATGAGAAATTGAATATAAAGAAGCATGAGAGAAATTTGGGGAGCTGAAGACATGCTCTACATCTTGGTTGCTGTATTGTGTATATGCTCCGTGGGCATATATATTTGTCAAAATACGTAAACTGTATGATTAAAATCGAAGTGTTTATTGTATGTAAAATACACTCTGATAAACTTGATTAAAGAGATACTCTGCTACAATATGTCAGTTGTTGCCTGGGAGACCTAGTAAAATTTCTTATCCCGGTGTAGTGATGACACGGCTTCCTCCTGTTCTTCTCTTACGGATCTCCTAAATGCCACTCATTCAATATGCAGATGAAAACTGGGCCTAAAGGACCTGGCCCTCTTTGCCCACCTGTGAAGTTTGCATGACTTCTGAGCCTTCCTATGATCTGCAAGCGATCATTCTTCCTTTATACTTCACTGAACCAACATAGATGTCTATCAGTTTTCAGTTTTACTCGTGTTACATTTACCTTTCTTCTCTAGGCTGGACCCTGTTGCTTCCATTCCTGTATCTCCTAGTGCCTAACTCAAAGGCGCCTAATCACTGTGCAAGCAACCTGGGCTTTGCCATTGCAGTTCACAGCGGGACAGACGCCGCTCCTCCGATCCTATAGGGGACGCTGTGGCAGGCCCCATCTAGCTCTCTGTTCACTTCTCCCGGCCAGCTCCCAGAGCCACACGCTCGGGCTCCGCCCCCTCAGTGGCAACATCCCTCCTGCCCATTGGGCGCGTGCATTCAGGGCTGTCCAATGGAGGGAGGCGTTGGTGCGAGGGGGCGTCGCCATCTGCGGGCGGCTGGGACTCCAGCCTCGGTCGCCGGAGGGAGCTAGGCAGGTGGGTTTTAAGTCGCGTCACCTCTGGTCCCGCGGCCTTGCCTCCCGCTCCCGCCACACCCCCGGCCACGATGCCGCAGTACCAGACCTGGGAGGAGTTCAGCCGTGCGGCCGAGAAGCTCTACCTCGCTGACCCTATGAAGGTAAGTGGTGTCGGGGCCGCTGCTGCCTCGGTCACCGGTTCCAGGTCAGGGTGTCTTCCCTCCCGCCCGCTCGGTCTCTGACGCTTTCCTAGCGTTCCCAGGAGGTGCGCGGAGTGACTGGAGACTGAACTCACCAGTCTAATTGCCCCCGCTGTCTCCTCCCGTCTCTGCTGCAGCGGTCCAGGGAGGCCCTGCCACTCGCAACAAGCCGGGTCGCGTCAGTCCTCAGCTGCTGTGCACCTGCCTTCTCTGCCCCATCCCTGAACGTCCCTTCTGGCGTTGGCTGGTGTTCGGGGCTCTGCAGTGAGGGCTCCTGTGCCCTTGCAGTTTCGGCCTTTGACCCCCTCGTTGTCTCGGTACCCGCTCTAGTACCGCCAAGGCTTAACGGTACCTTGTGTACGGGAGATGGTGACACTTGACTGCCGCTGCTCAGCTATTCCCGAAAGAACTGTTAGAAGCACCTAGACCCCGATGGTAGTGTTGTTTTTCTATGGCCGAGAGAGGAAGAGAAAGAAAAAGGTATTTTGACAGAAGTTAACGCGTCACGACCCTCCAGCTCTTCGTTTGGTCGGGATCACAAGTGCGTACCCCGACGCTCGTTCCTTGGATGTGGAACCCAACCCAGGCGTCCTCTGCGACCCCTCTGCTGCCGTCCTCCCGCGTTCACCATGCTTAATTTTGGGTTGTGTGTGTGTGTCAATGGCCTTTCATGAACATGACAGCGATTACACTCTTTACTTAGAAAAATGCACTTACACAGAAGTGTTTGCTCATGGAGGCCTTAAGTACATTCATGGCCCTCACAAATGTCACAGAAAGTAGACACTAGGAGTTCGCTCGTTATTGGAAAGCAAAGAAATCCAAGCAATGCGAGTTTAACATCTGGATATGATCTTTCATCTTTGTGGGATTTGCTTATTTTATTGTCATGTAGAAAAATCATTGAAAGTAGCTCCTTGTTTATTAAAAGCCCTACTGTGGGTCATGCAGGTGATGCGGTTAAGGGTGCTAGACTCCCACATGGCGTACCAGGGTTTGAGTTCCTTTTGAGTCCCTTTCCAGTGGCTTTCTCACTTTCTCTCTTTCTCTCTCCCACTCTGTCCCTCTCTGGTGAAATTAAAAATAAGTGAATTAATTAATATAAATAAAATCATTCTTTAAAATAAAAAAGCTCTGCTGCTTTTTAGAGCTAAGCATTTTTTTTAAGAATTTTATACCTGGAGACCTCAGACCTGGTTATATGTGATGTTCTTGTGTTTTCTACTTCATTGAATAACTCGGTCATTTTTTTTTTCTATTCCCTATTCACATGTGACTGGACTCCAAATCTAATTAAGTTTTGTGGGAGACACAAAGGTGAGGACGTTTCTGACCAACTCAATGGATATTATTGAGTGGTGTTATGGATATGCTGTACTGTAAATAACAACCCTTGGAGAAGAAAGAAAATTAGAAGCAGTCAATAAATCTCAGAAAACTGGGCCTTGAGGCTTGCTATAGGAGACTTTTAATTATCATTAAATAACCTAAAGTGCATTTTTAATGTATGCAATGGGCAGGTAACCTGTAAATCCTACACCACATATTCACAGTGAGTGTCTGTTTAAACTGTTCAGCAAGATATGTTGGTATTATGATTAAAAATAGTATTGGGGCTGGCAGATGGCATAGTGGTTGAGGGCACTGGACTCCCACAGGCCAAATGTAGTTCAAGTCCCAGGCCTGGCGGCTTGCTTTCTCACTTTCTCTCCCCCTCTCTCTCTCTCTCTCTCTCC